TGGGTTAATGTAAGTGGCTATTGTTCGGGACAAACAATACTAAGGAAGGGGCAGTGTTACGACAACGGACGTCACGTGACGCTAGTAACACGTCATGAGATTCTAGAAAGATCATGATTGTTCGTGGCAATTCTAGTCTTTTCTAGCCGCCCTCTATTTTAGTATATAAGCCCGACAAATAAAGCAGAGATATAATAATTGCATATAGAGAGATAGATAACTGAGTCAAGTGAGCAGTAGTGACCGTAAGTAAAGCGCATGAATCGTTGTGAATTATAGCATGTGTTCAAGTTAAAGTGACTGTGGAAATTAAGTGTACTACAAAGTTTGTAACGAGAAATAATAAACTAGTTTTAATTAAGAAAGGACTTGTATCGCTGAAATTTCTCGAAAAGAATTTTTACGGGAAATTATCAAACGAGCAGATACATAACAATATGTTTTTATATGTGGTATTTATATAAATTTGAAGCTTTGTTTTTCAGGAAATAATTTAAAATGTTACACCTGTTTTATATTTCAGTTACTTATTTTCATGACTTCCTACATTCTTGTAAACTTTCCTATAGTTTTATTGTATAAAATTATAAATTGTTAACTATAGGTTTCATTTACGTTTTAAATATATTTTATATTCATTTATATATATTTTCTTTTACATTTGTTTTTGGCAATTTTCTTTGCTCATTCAAGCTGTGACTTAGGTCAACAAGGTCTAATGTAAACAAGGCCTGATAAGCACCAACCTTGTCAGCAAAATGACCTAACTAACCAGGAATGCCTATTAGTCAGTCTTTGGTTCTGGTTAATTGCCTAAAAGTTGGTTGTTCAATCTCAGCTCCGTTAAACAAAACAATGAATATTCAAGTTTTTTTTTTTAATGAAAACATATTTTGAACGACAATTTTTTTACTTTTAAACATTAATATATGAAATATTGTTTGCTAAATTAGAGGTTGTTGAAAAACATTTTGCAATAAAAACTTCCAACCAACAAAGACCAGAATGACCAACAGCCAAGATGTTGCTATTAAATAGTCTCGGTTTAATAGCAATAAAACAAGTTGAAGAACAATTTTCGCTTTTACTTGCACATTTGTCATATTTGTTTTTTATCATTTAAAGCTGGAGTACCCAAATCGACTATGGTATAATTAAACTGAATATAATATTTAATATTTATTTATATACATATAAATAAATGCAGGCATTATTGTTTTTTTTTAAAAACATGTTATATTCATAAATACACAATATTTATACTGATTTCTTCAAAAATAGTTCATATTTGATGACAAAATACGTCTTTGTTCTTCAGACTGAGATTGAAAGACCAATTTTTAGGTACTGAATAGGAATCAAAGGCCAAGACATACTCATAGGCACACCCTAACTAGCCTTACCCAAGAAAAACATTTCTTATATTGCAACAGCATAATTCAAATGATGTTAAAAAGCTTTTCACAAGTTTAAAAAATATTAGGTATATTGCATTTCCTCTATTTACTATAGTTTTTGTTTTATAAAATCGTAAATGTTTTTTCTTTTTTTCTAGTTCAAAAACCACCACTTGCAGTTT